CACCTAAACTTGTTTTATATCTGACCCAGATAGACTGCAGGTCATAACTTCTTACCTGAAGCTCAGTTCAGTTCAGCCGCCTCGAGTCTCTCCTCCTCCTGCCTCACCTTTCCCTCATTCACCCGCTGGCCTCTGTGGAAGCTCCGCCACAGACACCACCAAACAATTCGGTAATTTTTTCACATCGGCCACCATCTGGCCAATCCACCACCTTTCATTGTTTATGCCGTTACAAAAACAACAAAACCATCGGCTTGTAAATCACCATTGGGCTCACCGGGCAAATGCACAGAACAAGCGCTCACAAAACAGCAGTTCGGGGATGATACATGGGTCCTCTGTTGGAATATAGGACAACCCAGATCCATGAAATCCATGAATCATTGATCTTACTCCTTCAGTCAATACTCAATACTATGGCCCCAACTTGTGGCCATAGGTTAGGGCAGGAACATAGAACTCCGCTCTCTCCTTTGGATCAATCGGATCCCAACTACACTTCACTTTCCTCTCTCCCTATCTTGCTCTTTTTTTCTGGTGTAGTGTGCACTCTGGTAAATGATTTTATGTTTTTAAGGCTTTAATTGGCTAGAAGGCATGACACGCTGTGCTCTTACATGCTTTATAGATTTTTAAAATTCATTTTAAACAGCAGTTTTCATGACAGCTCTTTGCAGTTGGTGTTGTCTTACGGACAGAAAACTGACGGCCTGATTTACTCTGTAAAATATACTTTTAAATGATCTCTGTCTGTAGTCACTGAACATGTAACTTTAACTGTAGGGTGGTGTCCTGAAAGGAACCAACCTAAAAAAGGATAGACAATAAGAAAATCCCTTTCATTGGAGGCTTTGCTACAACCACACAGTCAAGCTCTGAATGACGCTGTTCAAAGCTAAAAATGTGGATCTGAAAAACCCTTCGATGATAACTCGTATTTGGTGAAGAAATAGGTCAAAGTTCAAGGCCTGGACCACTTTGACCAGCACTTAGTCGTTGATCTAAAACGAGTACATGCATGGATTGCACATCAGCCACAATTTATCAATCTAGCTATGAGCGCAATAACGAGTAAGAGGTGATGATGGCAGCATGTGGCCAGTTTGAAGAAAGGAGAAGAAAACAACAAACGTGAACATATAAAGACATGAAGAACACACAGTGGGAGTGTTTGTTGGTGTTCATCATTTCCTCAGAATAGCCTGCTCAATTTCCACATTTCCTCTTTT